AGTAATATATTTACTGAGAAAAATGGTGACATGTTCAATACTTATTTTACCCACTGTATTTCCATTGCAGTTCTTGTTCAAATTTATTATTGACTTGATATCATTGTCAAAATCACAATATCATTTCAAAAATATAAATTTCAGTTAGCTAACAGAAKAAATCTTAGTTTAAAGTGCAGGATATAAACCTATTTGATTTGTGGTTACTGATGGGAGTTGCTCTGTGTACCTATCTATAAAAGTAGCCGACAACACCTTGATAAATGTTGAAATACTGTATATAGTCTTAGGCTTGACAAAAAAAAMCTCAATTTGCCTTTTARTACAAGCCAAAGCAGTTCCCCTTTGAATGCCTCCAACCTTAATAGGCATTCCCACAATCTGTTCCTGATCTCAAGGATTTGGATATCCGTGCAACTGAGAGTGTTTTATGAGCTTTTGAGGCCTGGTGGCCACATAACTAATCATTCTTTCATCCTTTCAGGGGGATCGCGGTGCCCCGGCTACGTGCCTGATTAGAAAACCTTAGCAGATGGTGGGAATGAAGGCTAGTGCTCTTGATCCGCCCAGAGAAGCCTGTCGGAATCTGTGTTTAGCTCTATAAACCACAGCTCTAATGCATGTGGCATTTTTACACAAAATAAATCATCTTCAGCAGCAGTAATTTGATGAGTGGACATTTCAAACATGTGCAAAAATGTAATAAATTTGCAAACAGCTAATTAGTGCAACAATCACAGCTGTCGTGTCCTTCTTGTTAGAACTAAATAAATAAAGTACAAAAAAACCACTAATGAGCAACAAACCTTCAAACAATGCAAACACAATTCAAACACAACAATAACAAGAATGAGCAACTTGTTTTCTGGTAAGGGACTTCAATTTGTCGGTTTACAGATGGTTTGTTGCCTCATTATTTGACCACAAAATCTCTGAAATAAAATTCATTAAACGATTTGGATAAACTTCTCATATTTCTTTGTGATGCTTTGTCAAACACAGTTTTTAGGCGATGTTAAGAGAAGGTCGCTGTCTGGGTGTAAAGCCATCCTGCTGTGCGCTGAGGAAATGATATGACTGCCTGACAGTGGCACCCACTCATAGTAATTGGCCTTGGGTTGTTGCRGTAGAACAAATGTCAAGGTGAGTGAAAAAGACAGCTTAGGGGAGCACAAATGTGTTGTTTCATGTGTTCTGTGAACAGTTCCTCTGTTGGACCAATTCAGAGACAGTGGGGACAAAAAAATGGCTGCAATCATATAATTCCACAAATTATGCCTCCTTTTTTTTTTGCTTTTACTCTGCTGTTTTGCAGAGTACACAAACTTAACAAAACGTGTTTGTCAAACAAAATTTTACACATAAAACAGAAAACAGTTTATAAATTATATTTCAATTACGTTATGCTGTAGAACACAAAGCTTCTTGTAGCAAGAGAACATTTTATCTGAGAATGTTTGATAATATGTCACCCATCACCTCGAACTGAGGATTAAGTCACAAAGTGGTATGTGGAGATGTGCAATTATAGTGTATTAGGTAAACCATTTGTAACAGTTGTTTTTTTTTTGTCAAACTAAAATAAGTAAATGCCTTTTTTACATATTTAAATAAAATATCTAAAATTCTAAAATATATATGTATACATATTTAAGCACTTTACTGAACAGTAGTAACAAAAAACTTATTTTGAGCAAAAAAATCTCACATTTTTTCCATTTTCCTTGTGTGCTAGCCAAGATTTTTTTTCCCAGTTGGGAAATTTTACATCCAAAAATTGTTTAAGGGTTCCTCTTTAAAATTATATTTCATTTTCCTCATTCATATAACCTAAAAACAGTATTCAGACTAAATATTCTGATTAGGAAGACAAATGAAAGCATAACTCTGCTCATGATATCAGGATGATCTAGATTTCTGTATCATAAAAAGCAGGAATCTGAAAATTTGCTTAGGTCACCTCAGTTTGATGTGATGGCTCACATTTATCCTTAAACAATAAAAAGCTTCATGCTATTTTTAAACCTAGCTTAAATAAAGTTAAACAAATAAAAACAAGATGTGAAATTTGACAAACTAAACGATTGGTCTAAAAACCCAGGACTCAATTACAGAGATTATATTAATCCTAGGAGCAATGATATGTTAACCAGTCTCGGGGATGATCGCCCTAAAAATCCTAACTCTCTAAAAAAAGATGCGAGCCGTGCGGATGACTGATGACGCAGCGTCTGATGTGCAGCGGTTCGTCCTGTAGGCGCACCGGTGCACGCCTACAACAGTGATATAAAGTGCAAACCAGGAAAAGAATGTGATATAACAACACATGCTTTCCGTGTGTCTCGTGAGAGTGCGTTCAGTACCTCCTCCTGGCTGCCTTTCCGTAGGTTATAGGTGAGGTTGTTGTGGATGTCGGAGGCGAACACGTTGGCATACTCAGGATAGAGTTCCAGCACCTCTCTCAGGCCGCGCAGGCTGATGTACTGCAGGTCACAGTAGGTGAGCGCTTTCACATCAGCATTGGTCTTGATCACCTGGTCAGTTCCAGGCAGATCAGACCCGATTAAGTCCCCTTTCCCTGAAATCCCAATTAATATTAATCACTGTCTTACTCTCATATTACAAAAACCTTTTACACATGATGCTAAAATAAAGCCTTTTTGTGATACACACCTAAGATAGCCAGCACCATGCCGTCTTTCAGCACTTCTAGGGAGCCGGAGCAGACAAAGTAATTGGCATGCAGCGCATCGCCCTGACGGATCAGGTACTCCCCAGGTACGCAGAAAGAGGTTTTAATATGAAGGGAGAGTGAGCGCAGGCAGCCACGACTGGCCCCGTTAAAGACTGGCAGCTGAAGGATGTCCTTATTCAGATGCATACCGATGTCGGCCCGTAGCTCATCAGGAAAGTCATGGAGGAGCTGGGGATATTTGAAAGACGTGATGAGGTGTGGCACTGCTAGATTAGGAGTCAGTGTGTGTGGACGGAGCTGCAGCTACACCCCGTTTTTAAAGGAGACCAGCGGAGTAAAAACACTACATAATGACAAAAACGAAAGGGACTCCTACCTCACTGGCATCTATACCGTTGTTGACAGACCATGTGGTTTGAAAGTACTCCAGCATGCGTTGTTTAAGCTGCTGGGGCAGATGGTGAACACGGATGAAGTCCTTCAGGTCTGACATGCGCGTGTAGTAGAGAGAACGGCGAGAGTACATGCGCTGGATGATGGCTGTCACATTCCCAAAGATGACAGCGTGCATCATCGCTGTGACAGATAAAGGATGAGAACATAAGAGTCCGTTATGATGATGTTAAAGGTTAAATGCAGGATGTAGCAACGTTAAGAGACAAACATTTCTAAGAACCTGACATATTGCCTTTATGCCAATTTGAATTTGAGAAAATAACCTGAAAACTTTAAATTGGCAAAACATGTATGACAGTTATCAAAAGCAGACTTACATTCTCTTGTAACAGCTATATTCAAATTAATAAGTACTGAAATAATTAATAAGAAATTAAAGCCCACAGCTATTTCACCAGCCTATCCATAATCGTTATGGTTTCAATAAAGTAGTAAAAATGATACAAGAACTATAAAATATCTATCAACTTTTATGGTTTGTAATATAAAATATACTTCAACCAAATTCTTGACTCCAGTAAATGAAATTAATCAACCAAATGTGTTCCCAAGCAGTAAAAACAAACTTAAACAATTATGCGATGGGGTTGCGTCGCTCCTAATTGCAACCTCGGCTGATCTAATCTGTCTGTAGGAGCTGGAGATGGCAGCAAGCTGTGTCTYAAAAGCCAGCCAAGCTATTCAGCCGCAAGTCGTGCAGAATTTCTTGGACTGCCGTGCCAAGAAGGAACCGAGTGATTGCCAGGATGCCAGAGGGAGAATGACAACCCGGTGTCAAACGTACCACCAACCAGCATGATGCAGATGGAAAAGATCTTCTCCCCATCRGTGTTGGCACTGACATTTCCGAAGCCCACACTGGTCAGGCTGCTGAGGGTGAAGTACAGGGCGGCGATGTAAGAGCTGCGGACTGTCGGGCCGCCCACCGTGTTGTTAATGTATGGAGTGTCCAGACGTCTGCCCAGCTCATGAAGCCAGCCTTAAAAGCACAAACAGTACACATGTTATCCTTATGCCCGTCAGTGCCTTGGAGGATGACAGTGACAGGATGGTACTGCTATAGCTTGTCTAAAATAAGCAAAGCTACTTGTCTGCTTGTCTCTCTCTCATTCTCTCTGTGTCAGAATGAGAGTCAGCATTTTTCAGGACAGCCTACAACTAGCTACTCCTGGGATAAAAAAATAATAATAAATTAAAAAAACTATCTCTAACACAGAAATATAAAGTCATCTTCCAATGTGGATTAAAAACGACAGGCCGGCGTTAAACATTTAGAAAAGTTCTTTTTATACATAAACTGATAAAAATCCAGAGCAACCTTGCTACTAACATCTAAATCAGTGATTTTACTTACTTTAGGCTTTCCAGCTTCTGATGAGTTTATACTAAACTCTGCTTTCAGCCAGTGACACAAAGATGTGTGTGCTGCATGCTATCAGTCTTTATTTCAGTTTTTGATATGGCTTTAGACAGCTCTCATTGGAGCAGCAGAAGATGCTGTTTTTGCCACCACTGAGCAGAGCTAGACACCGCGTAGGTAAGCAGGAACTATTTATAGCTCAGTCCGAAAAAAAAACCCAACTAAAAACCAAACACAAAAATCAAGTCATTATGTGCTGTAGTTTGTTATATTTGTTGAATTTTTAGGAAAAATAGCTCTCTGTTACAACTGTATCAGGTTAAGAAGAGAAATGCGGAGCCCGCGAAGAGACGGGGGGATTTTTTTATTTTGCGTTCCCTCGCAATACCTTTGTGTTCCCTCGCAATACTTTTGCATTCCCTCGCAATACTTTTGCGTTCCCTCGCAATACTTTTGCGTTCCCTCGCCATACTTTTGCATTACCTCGCAATACCTTTGCGTTCCCTCGCAATACTTTTGCGTTCCCTCGCAATACCTTTGCGTTCCCTCGCAATACCTTTGCATTCCCTCGCAATACCTTTGCATTCCCTCGCAATACTTTTGCGTTCCCTCGCAATACTTTTGCGTTCCCTCGCCATACTTTTGCATTACCTCGCAATACCTTTGCGTTCCCTCGCAATACTTTTGCATTCCCTCGCAATACTTTTGCGTTCCCTCGCAATACTTTTGCATTCCCTCGCAATACCTTTGCGTTCCCTCGCAATACTTTTGCATTCCCTCGCAATACTTTTGCGTTCCCTCGCAATACCTTTGCGTTACCTCGCAATACCTTTGCATTCCCTCACAATACCTTTGCATTCCCTCGCAATG